AGAAAGTGATGCTACCTGACCAGAAAAACCTCAAGTCGTCAAATGATGGTGGTTCATCTGAAAGTTTTCTAGGACCCTAAACTTTCCACGGCTGAAGAACTGATGAAATGAATCCTGTCTTGCTTTAGGTCTGGGGGAACTTCAGCTTGATTTAAGCACTTTAAAGTTCTCCTCAGACGCAGGTAAAATGTCAACATGGCTGCACAGTATGCCCTTATGAAAGTAAAAAGATCTGCCCTGAGAAAAGTTTCTCCGTTTTCTGGAAGTGTTTCAGAATTGTTTCCAAAGTTCTGTCCACCGTAAAGGTTATCAAAAGTCTGTTACAGCAGAAGCAGAACAAATTGAATCCACCATTTAACCACATTTATACCATCATGTCCAACAGAGACTAACAGCTGAGTAGGAGACGTTTTTGAATGTGCAAGCACAAGAAGCCTGTAACTTGGAAACACCTGCTTGATTAAACCAAATGGAAAAGATGCTCAGATGGAAGTCAAAGCATTCTGAGCAGCCTGACAGCCTCGTCTATTCCAACAGAGATAAACACGTCAGCTTTAACAAAGAAGTCATAACAGGCTCTCATTGCATTGGATTCATGCTTGCTTGACCCATAATTACAGTGGTCCCAAATATGAGAATAACCAGTCCAACCAGTGGGATTTAAACTGAGGTCTTAAGTTCTTTATCAGACTAACAAATCATCTCCATTCTACATTTTGTCTAACTTTAAAAGTATGTTAACTCTAGTGTCTTAAGAGATCTCTTCTGGTAAATATAGTTTGTTGTATGGAGCAGTTTTTCAGCCAATCATGGAAGGACTAGACTCTTTGCATTCAGTGGATCTATTGGGTATTAAGAAAACAAAAACAGGGACTGTCCATTAAAACTGTGAGCAAGGGGTAATATGCCCTCTTTAATATTTATTTCTCACATCTTTTATCGTTATTGCAATATAGAACAACTTAATGTCACATTGCATTAGTATGTGTGCATTTATCTCATATCGTGCAGGCCTGATAGTGAGTGAGTAATCTTTGTGCATTTAGAGGAAACATGTTTGAAACTGTTTCCAGAGCAGTGACTTCCTTTTTTCTCTTGTGACAGTGACAGTACAGTGAGGGTTGACGATCTCATCAGGTGTCAGAAAGTTTAACAGCTGATCCTCTGTGAGTAGGATACGTCCCTCATCATCCATCCTTTAGTTAAGAAGGGACTATGAGGATGCACACTGAGTGTTTTGTCCACTCCTGTCTATAAAAACAAAGTCTACAGATCACTCAAAGTCTTGGTTTGTCTTTGAAACTTGCAGCTCTTCCTCCTCCCTGCCTTTACTTTCTCTTTCTCTGTAAATCTGAACTTTTTAGTGATTCTAGTTGGGAGTCTATCTCTAATTCTGTTATCTACTGGCCCAGCCTGGCCCGAGGATGGATGCCATCTATAATCCATTTATCAGAGCCGGCCGCTGGGCCTTCTTCCAAATGACAGCTGGCCTTAAGCAATCTCATTATAAAAAGCACCCAGATATAGTAGTATGGAAATATAGGGGGAGGGGGCTCCGGCTCGGGGTCTGAGAAATGGACTGAAACAAACGCACAGTGGACAGAATATATAAAAATGTTTTTTAACATACATTTATTTATTCTGTAGACATGAAAGCATTGTAGAAACTTCTGCTTTGGCTCCGGTTTTTGTAATGTTTCCTGCCATCACTTCATAACGTATGAATAAAAAGTATCAAGTGTGAAAAGCTGTAAATGTTGAGTTATATCCTGAAACTTCTTCAAACTCATTCAGCTGTCATTTCAGGTCTCATGTCAGTTAAATTTGGAGGCATTGTAAAACACTTTTGTTTAGACTTACCTGGATTGATGCATAACTAACAGCTGAATTATAATTATAGCAGGAGAAGTGAATTATTTCAGTCCATATTTATAATTTCAAACTAATAAATTCACACAGAATCCGATCAGACAGTTTAGATGAAGTTAAGAACAAATTGCTGAATGGTGGAGGATGAAATTAACAGACCAGTATACAAACAGGACATTTAAATTAGTTCTATAGGCATTAATAAAAAAATAAAAGTTTTGCAGATTATTTATATGTCTTGGAAATACAGATGCTTTTCCATCGTTAAACATCTGGCCAGAAGAACTCTCTCTTCAACTGTTTCGAGTACATAGCTATTCAATTGAACATGAAGTGACTGTTATTTACAGATGAGATCTAAATAGAAATCAATGTCATCATACTCTCTCTGCCTTTTAAATAAACACAATATGGCATCAATCATATACCTAATTAGATGGTAGTATATCCGTCTGTAGTCTGAGGAGGTGGTCTTGCATTTTTTTGGGTGCATGATAACAGATTTTTCCTGATATGTGAAATGTTGATTTGCACATTATCCATAAGTGTATATGTTTGTCCACTCAGCATGCATATTTGATTACTTCTCTTCTGTAGTGGAAATAATATGATTCACCATTATGCTCTGATTCTGACAACCCACATTCAGATGGTGACTTCAAATACTTTCAAACTGTACAAAATCACTATGGAAAATAGGAAAACATATTGAGTTTAACATTATGGAAACATGCTATGAATATATTTGGCCTGCTTCTTTTTGTTGTCCAATTGGCAGAACATTTTAATTTATGGTCTGGGCTGATATTTAATTTAAAGGCTTTAATCTCCAATAGCAACAAGAGGCTGATATCATTTTGCATCTTTGACTTTATTGAAGCAGTTTTTTATCGTCTCCCTTGATAGTTCCAGTTAAAGTCATCCTCCCCGTCTTTAAGGAAAATGTAACAATATAGAATCTGACGCACGTGAAGATACAGCAGCATGAAGTTCAACAGGAAGTAAACACAGCAGTGACTGAGTCTTTCTATTCATCACACACAGTGTGCCCGCTCACCCCGACACCTCGCAGACTGTGTGTGTGTATATGTGTGTGTATATGTGTGTGCATGTGTGCAAGGGGGGCGAGGTCCCCTGCGATACAAATCCATAATAATGCTATGCTCACTCATCCAGAGAGAGAGAAAATAAGAAATAGAAATTAGAGGGTGGAAGCAGTGGGAGGTGATTGTGTCTGTTCAAATGTTACACTCTCTCTCTCACACACACACGTGCACACACGCACACACACACTTTTTATGTAGTCCTTATTGGGCCTTTGATCAAAGGTGTGTAAGGAGCTCTCATCTCCTACTGTGATACTCATACAGACACACACACTTATTGGTCACGCACACACTCATGTATTGCTCTCAGGGCTGCAGAAGCTTCCCACTGTGTTACACACAACACACAAAAGAGGGCACGCCCACGCTTACACACACACACACACACACACACACACACACACACACACACACACACACACACACACACAACAAAAGGGTCTCCAGTTGCACGTGTCCAAAATCCTTGCAGAGTGTGTGTGTGTGTGTGTGTGTGTGTGTGTGTGTGTGTGTGTGTGTGTGTGTGTGTGTGTGTGTGTGTGTGTGTGTGTGTGTGTGTGTGTGTGTGTGTGTGTGTGTGTGTGTGTGTGTGTGTGTGTGTGTGTGTGTGTGTGTGTGTGTGTGTGTGTGTGTGTGTGTGTGTGTGTGTGTGTGTGTGTGTGTGTGTGTGTGTGTGTGTGTGTGTGTGTGTGTGTGTGTGTGTGTGTGTGTGATTGCACTGTGACTAAAGGCTTTCAGCAGGACAATGAGACGTGTGCCTGCGTGTGTGAGAGAGAGCGCGCGTGTGTGTGTAAGTAATGGTTAATACGGGGACAATAGAAGTGTGCCTGTTCAGTTGTTATCGGCTCACAGGAGACTCTCAGGCCTGCTGCGTTTTCAACCACTGCTTACAAAGAAAGGAGGTAAAGAAAGAGATGAAAAAAGAAATATCCCCCACACTTTCTCTTTTCAGCTGAAACGTCAAGTGTCAAAGGAAGGAACTAAATTGACCAACATTTTCTTTGAATCCTTTCGAGATAAAGAATGAATGTAATAAAGTGTGATGCCAGTACTTTCAGACCTGGGCCTCATGTTGTTGTACATATTTTGGGGTCCAAATGAACAAAAGCTAAGAAAAAGTTTTTTGGAAGTGGAAGACTAAGACACTCGGTTGGATCCCAGAAACAGATGTTAAATTACTCGCTTTAAAGCTGCCATTGACAAACATGTCATTTTACCTCACAGTAAAACCGCAGTAGCTTGTAGACCCCTTCCTGGATCGGTTTGGTGTTTGTGTACCTCTGTGTTCCCAGATATTCTTTTGGATCCAAACTAACACTTTCAAACACCAAACGCACACAGTAACACAAATAAACCAACGGCTTGATGAAGGGATGGAAAAAGCAACACCTGTGTTCTGGGACAAATCACCTGGACGGTCTCATGTCACACCTGTCCTCATGTCTTTACACTGGCTCCCCATCAGTTTCAGAATCCAGTTTCAGTTCTTATTGTGTTAAGAGCTGTGTGTGGTGAAGCTCCGGCTTACATCACCAAGCTACTGAGGCCAAATAACACCAGCAGGTCCCTGAGGTCTGCTGGTTGGAGGACTGTGAAAAAGGAGACTGTGCCTTTGAGGTTGTGACACCTAAATTTAGGAAATTAGATCTGTGCACTCAGTGGGCATTTTTAACAATCAGCTAAAGACTCATCTATTCAGACTCGCCTTAGTTTTTATTTTTATTTTGTGTAACTGTCTGTTTGTAATGTCTCTACTCAATCCTTTATTGTGAAACACTTTGGGACATCTGTTCTTGAAAGGTTCCATATAAATAAACTTTACTTACTTACAATTACTGTTTTTATCAATGGAGTTAAATCTCAGGTACAGCAAGGTGACAGTGTAAGGTTTAAGGTCGTCTTCAAATCAAGCTGTTAACATCTCACTAGTGTTCAACTTGATGTCTAAAGAGTAGGATAAACACTGGGAAATCAGTGGTCTCCCAACAAGACATTAATGTTCATTTTCTTTCTCTGGGTCTCCAGGCTGTCTGTCCAACCTTCCACCAAACGCCAAGAAGATCTCAAACTCGTACGAGGAGCGCCGTAAACAGGCAACCGCCATCGTGCTCCTGGGGGTCATCGGGGCTGAGTTCGGCGCTGAGATTGAACCACCAAAGGGATCTGTGCGGGCTCGAGCCGGGGGACAGGCTCCTGAGGGCTTTGGTCTAACGAGTGGAGGATCGTCCAACTACTCACTGGCCAGACACACATGTAAGTACTGTGCAGAACTAACACGTTTATCTTCATGCAGCATTTACACTCTGTACGAGGAATACTTTATCTCCTGTTGCTACGTCGTATCTATCTGGAGTCCACTGGAGTCGTGAACCAGGTTTTCATTGCAAAAGACCCTCTTGGGATTGTAATGATTGTTTCGGCTATTAGGCAAACCCTCAGGTGTTGCCAGGGAAACAAGTTGTTGTTTGTTTAAAACTTTATATTCTGACGGCAAAACTCTTGGCAAAACTTGATGGATGATCTTATGATTGTTTTCTTTGTCAAGTGACCATGGTATAAACGGGATAATATTCTTTCGAGGTGTCCATAATGGAGAATTAATGGACTTCCCTGAGGCAACCACAGGCCTCCAAGTCATCCATTAATTCTTGATAATGGACACCTTGTCGGGCATTATCCCTTATCCCTCCCAACACCTTACACTTGTATGCAAAGAAGCAACATAGCTTGCTCATAAGCCACCTAAATAAACAGCTCTTGAAAAACATGTTTGATTTTGTCCAACAGGCAGGATGTTTTGTGCACATATGTTGTGGTTGCAGTGAATTCATTTTCTTTAGTCCAAGGAGTTTTGATCCTCTGAAATAATGCTCAACACTAAATGAATAGATTATTATTTCTGCCTTGGTTGCAACCATCTTGGATTTAAGGGAGCTCTGAGAGACCATTTTGGTGAATTGTAACTCTTCCATGAAGGGTGTTTGGAGGTTAGTTTGTAGGATGCTGTTCTTCATCTAAATCCACTCGGTGACACTCGGTAGAGATCTGCAGTACTGAGTTATTTTCTCGTTTTCTATAAACTTTGTTTCCATGCACAGTTTAGATGTTTGTTGTCACCATTGCCAGACACAGAAACCCCTTCATCACCTTCTTTATTTTTTCAATTTATAACTGCTGACTCCAGCTCCTGTTGATTGACCTCTTTCCCCCAAACAGTAATTATCGTGGATTGTCCAGAAAGAATCCCCCAAATGTCTTTATTGGCCACAGGTGTAGGGTGGTATAAGACATGATGGTGTGAGTGTGTCCATCACTGTGATGTATAACCAACTTTTAGATGATTGGTCTCCATGGTCCACCATGGGCAGAATCCTACTGAAGTCTTTGAACACAGTTTGTGCTGTGAGTAAAATAGCTCTACAAATATTGGCTGGATGCCCGTGAAATTAGATACTGGCCTTAAAGGTTCCCAGTAAAATATTTCCATTGAACAGTCCTGTGTGTCATGTTTACTGTTGTATTTGTTATAGTAGTGTTTTTTATGTGGCGTTACAACAGTAAAACACTATTGATGGCCTCTTAACTTCTGACAGAAATGGTTACTGGTTCTTGATTTCATCCCAATTCAAGGTTTTCAAACTCTGAACTATAAAACAAACTGACAAAGTAGAAAGTTCAGTGTTGGATTAAAGGTGAGGGGAGAGAGATGCGATTGATTTTCACCCACCAAGCTTGACACCTTAAGGAGCTTGGCAGTAACTTCCACACCCTAAGATACACGTTCTCCACACACACACACACACACACACACACACACACACACACACACACACACACACACACTCTCTCTCTCTTACTGAGCCCAGCCTGTGCCACGCTGTGCCTGCAGCGTTGGACCTTGGTGGGCATCAAACCCGCACTAAGCAGAGCTGCTCTTCCGTCCCACTGACCCCAAGCTCTGATTGGCTGCCTCAGGGGGGCATCCGCCCAGCGACAGTGCCTGTATTCTCACTGATAGGCTTCAGAGTGTGAGGGTGCTTAGTCGGACACACACACAGGGGTCAGTTCACCTGTGTGGACTGGAAACTAACACACACACACACACACACACACACACACACACACACACGCACACACAGAAGCCTATGTAAACAGCTGAATAAACTACAAATTCAATTGATCCACTTAAGTTGGCCTCCATCTTTTGAAATCATTGATCTGAGGTGGCTATTATGAATAATTTGTAATATTTCTTCCACTTCATTGACTAAACCAAATGTCTCAAGGTCTTTCACATTTCAAACTGTCTTCACGTCCAGTAGCCAAAGACTGGGTAGACAATCTTTTGATGCAGAGAATGCCAGCTTCATGTACTGAAGCTGTCCCTCCAAGCGGACGGCCCTGGTTCAAATCCGACCTGTGGCTCCTTTCCCGCATGTCATTCCCCACTCTCTCTCTCTCTCTCCCTGATTCCTGACTCTATCCACTGTCCTATCTCTACAATAAAGGCACAAAGGTCACACACAGGTTTGAATCACCCGGTACATTTCAGTGTGTAGGAGGAGGTATTTGTGGATAATTTATCTCAGGGTAAAATGCTCTTGCATGATGAACACTAGAGGGACATTTTAATTGCATTGCTATGAATACAACCCTAGGCTCTTCTCAACAATTAATTCCACACAGTCTGCTTTCAGGGAGTAGTCCTGCACCCCTTGCCTAAGAGCAGTCATATTTCACATGGCTACAAAATCTCCCCTCACCGACCGGAGGAGCAAGCTCCTTTAAAAACTTACCTGAACTCCACAGAGCAGTTGGCTCCTTTAGCTGACCTTATCGAGTGACTGGACCCTCTAAAACATGTTATTGCCTAATAAAAAGCTCGAGCCCATGTTTAAAGATTGTAAAAAAGCAAGCGGTAGAGGACAGCTTTTATGACTTCTCCTCTATATCTTTCTCACGTTTTGCTTTCATTCCCGCCCTCTTCCTCTGTTTTCTTCTTCTCTTCCTTTCTCTCAGTCTTTTTTCCACTTCTCATTTAGTCCGTTGTTTTTCTCCCTCCACTCTCCATCTCTCCTCTCCCTGTTATGAAATTGAAAGATGGATTGGTGTTGTTGGCATACGAAGCTGTGTGTGATGAATGAGAGCTGTCCCAGGGAGAGGGAGGGTACTATAGTCCATACAGCAGGGTATAGATTGATGTTTTCATATGGTGAGGGGGGAAATGTAGGGAAAATGGAGGGGGAGATCGAGCTTAAGGATGGATGCGTGGAAGGGAAGGACGGAAGGACAGATGATGACAGAGGGAAGGGAGGATGCTGTTGGACAGGATAAAAGAGACTAACCGTTCATCTGTGTCTCTGGACAATAATTCTCTCGGTAAATGTCAGAATACCTGGAGTCCCCTCTGAGGCCCGTTCACCGTGAACGATGGCATTTTTAAACATTAATGAGAGCTGATTGGAAATTGAGTTTTACTCTGTGTTGTAGAAAATTGAACAAGGTTGAGCAGATGGTGGAAAATAGGAAACACACTGCTCGGATCAGATTCAACAAATCCGAAGATTTGGAAGTGCTCCTGTAATGTCTTCTGCTGGTAGTTGCAAAAGAGACTGGCGTTGATGTTATTTACTCCAGGGGGAGCCGATGCGCCCACTCATAGTACATCCACTTAAAGTGTTGATTTTTTTTGATGAGGGAGAACATAACAGAAATATCCCAGCAGAGATGGTAGTCTGAGCCAGGCTTTAACCATGGCTTGAAAAACTCTGGGAGGTAGGTCTCCTTCACATAAAAAAATGAGCTGGTTGGAATTAAATAGGCATGTCCTCCCAATGTAGGGGTGCTATAAACTAGTTCTTTATCATCTTTTGTGGTGCTTATTTCCAAACGACTGTTTCATCAACCTGCTAACATTCAAGTAAACGAGGAACATACTTGTGGTAGTACAATAGCCAGCCACAGAGCCAGTGTGAAATCTGCTAGTTAGTTGTGCATTGTTTCACATGTATGAAGTGGGTGTTGAGCAAATACTGCTCATTTTTTTTTTCCTTGTATAGATTTTTTTTTTCTCCATAAGACACAGCATCCCTCCCTGGCTCTTATTCTTTCTTTCTCTCTATTGTTTCTCTTTTCTTCTTCCTGGCTCCCTCTCTCTGTAGCCAGTCTGATCCGGCTCTCATCCTCTAACATAGTCCCCCACATTGATTTACCTTCACCTCTCATTTAAGCTCAAACACAGGAAGAGAGGGGAAGGGGGGTTGGGGGGGGGGCAGGGTAGATGGAGGAAAGAAAGTAGGGAGCCTGTTAGTGGTCGACTCAGCCTGCTAAACTTTAGACGCCACAGATCTGTCACTATTTCACACTCTCGACCTCCCTCCCTTCCTTCCTCCCGCCTCCCTAACCCTGCTCTAATCACCCTCTGTGTGTTAATGTGACACGTTTACTGCTCTAACTAACAGCTCATTATGGCCGGCTGAGGCTTTGTCAATAGCTGTTGGTTCATTTGGGTCCGGGCTTGCCTTAAACAAAGATGTCCGCCATGAGAAATGGACTTTACCCTGGACCTTTCTCATTCTCCCAGAAGGGGGAGGGAGCTGTAAATTCAAAGACTCGATTCAGCCAATTAAATCACTAGTTCAATAATCATCTTTAGTTGTCCAGGAAAAGTGAATTTCATAGTGCAAATGTGGCTGTAATAAAAAAAACTGTTCATATCTGCCCACACACAGCCTCTGTCACTGCTCAGTGTTGAACTCTGACCAAATGACCTCTGAGGCCTGTTCTGATTGAAGGGGGGGGGAGGTGGGGTGCACCCACACACATTTAAACAATGTCAAGCATTTGAATTTGACTGGTGACCTTGTGCCCTATGACACCTAAATCATTCCGATCCTCCTCCATCCTCCCACACGGTCACAAATTCATTTATTGATTATCAGTTTGTTTTTCACCACCAATCTTTAGATTTTATTTGGGGGCAGAAAAGTTTAAAGATGAATCTAAATATATTTTTTGTACCCTCTGACTATAACAATGTTAACACACAAAGCTTTAAAGATGTTACATTCACATGGTGTCATTGTATATTTCTTACCTCCGTCTGTAGCTCTCGTGCCAAAACCTTTAGTCTTCTTTCAAATGCTTTGGCATGTTTTAATGAAACCCAACGTACAGCAGCGTGACATGAGATGTGCCACTCTCTCTCTCTCTCTCGCTGTCTCATTTTTGCCTGTTATGTGCAACATACAGAGCAGTGGAAACCAGTTTCATTTAGTCTACTGTAGTGCTCACTTCAGCACCATGGACAGAGAACAGAGCTTCAGCTATGATTACTCTTTCTTTAAACTTTGGTGTTTCCCCAGGATTTATTTTTTTGCATCACAGACTTAATTTGCTGCTTTCTGGTGAATAAGTGTGCTCTGATGTGTGATGTAAATATTTAAACAATGAATTGATTAATTGTTAAAATGAACGCATTAGGACAGAAGACCAATTGAGTACCAGGATGGACTATAATACAGAGTCTTCATTTACAGAGACAAACAGACTGCTGGGTCATGTGCTGCTAGAAAGTGTGTTTGTAGATCTGCATTTTAAAATGTATCAGTCATTTATTTAAGAAACATCTCAGGAGAGGGCGTGATGTTGTACTGAAAGTGATTCTGTCGTAGGCATGTTTTCATTTTGGCAACCAAAGATCGACAACTACAAACAGGAAAACGGGTTTGAAGGCCTGTGGGGCCAGTACAAAAGAAAATCAACATCACTCCTTGCTCTTTGTCTCTACGATCCACCAAACTGGCTAACAACGTTAGCACCAATGTCCAACTCTTACGGTCTATGTTGCCCATAACAACGTAGCAAAATGATGCTAACACAGTTAGCGCCATATCTGTCGCTGCTGGTATATATTATAGCAGTCCTATACCAGCAAGGCTAACACAGTTAGCCTCTAGCTATATCTTTCATAGCCCGGTCAGGCTGTGTGTGTGTGTAGATATAAACCAATAAGAGGGGGGGGGGGGCATTTAAGGGGGTCTGATGATGAAATGCCAGGAGATCCAGATGATGAGATTAGCTCTGTGTGTCTGGAGACTAAAGGACCTTTAGAGCCACCACAGGATTATAAATACTTTAAGTAAATGATCTTTTTTATATTATATGTTTCTTAATGTTATGACTGTTTAACTTTTACATTTCAAGCGACAATGCAATGAACTTTATTGATCTGTGAGTGGACAGCAGCAGCAGCAGCAGAAAACAGACCTCTGAGAATAAAACCTGCTTCTACGAGGATACGACCCTCGACAGGCTCTGATTTTATGAATTAATGACTTATTAATTCATGTGAAATGAAACAAGAGAAACTTGTTTTCTACGAAGATTCCCAGCCATTTTTATATAAAGCCAGATACTAAGTGTATAATCGGCCTCTCTTTGGTTTTCCTCAGACTTCATGTTTTTGCAGCACATTGTGAAGACACTGCTAAAAGCTCTGGACCTCAGGTTTCAGTGAGTGAGACAGGCGGAGAGAGACAGTCAGTAGCTTGTGTGTGTGTGCGTGTGCGTGTGTGTGATTGGGGGAGGGGGGTGTTATTGAGAGATGGGGATATTTTCTGGAGCCTTAATGGTCAGCCTGTCCCTACAGAGGCTGGCTCAAATGTCAGGTCAGCTATGAAGTGACCCCCATCCTGCTCGTTGTCTTTATCCTCCCAGTTTGTGTCTGTGTGTATGCGACATAAGCTGAATCATTTTCATCCAAACCTTATTTAAGACATTAGGATTCATTCGTTTTTGGATGTTAAAAGAGATGAAGTCTTTATAGAAATGGTTTTGTTTCAGATGGCTCACATGTTTAAGACATGTTTCTAAATTGGGCGGGGCTTTGACTTGTAATCTTGACGTGTTCTATGAGATTTAATCAAAATCTACAACTGTGTAGATAGCAAAAAAGCCTTTCAGGGGCTCCTTGACTGTCATAGTCCAGGTGTAAGGACGCTGTCATGTATGACTAGCTGGGAGTGAGAGCTAGATCATTCAAAATGTGAGCATAACGGTTGATGCAGCTGCAAAGTCTGGAGTTTGAATTCATCTGAACGCCGCTATTACACAGCTGTGTTAAATACTTGATTCTGATTGGCCAGTTACTTAATGCAACGTCCTGCTATCCCTCAGTAGATCACCGTTGTTAAGAAGAATGAATCGTACTAAGATCATAAAATGGCTGCAACGGACACATGTGCTCTGATCATATAATCTAAAGGACTGAATGTTCTCAAATCAGTGCGCCGTAAGGAAGTTGGGTTACCTTGACATCAGTATGTTTCCTGTGGAAAAGAGAGAAAGGAGACTAAAACAGCAGCAAAATGAAGACTGAAAAATTGCAAACAGATGGCCTCGCGGTGAGGTCGCGCCCCATGTACGGAGGCCATAGTTCTCCAAGCAGACGGCCCGGGTTCAAATCTGACTTGTGGCTCCTTTCCTGCATTCCCTGGATAAGATAAGATAGTCCTTTATTGATCCCCGTTGGGAAAATTCAAGTGCTGCAGCAGTAAAAGATAACACGAAGAACATGCATATAGTATTAATAAATTTAGAATAGATAGGAATACAAATAAAGATACTATGTATTTACAACTATTAGATGCAGGATATCTGTCTGTGATTAAGAAGACAGACTAGGACCCACTGCTGTTTTCAGTCTGATGGCAGTAGGCACAAAGGAGCGCCTGAAGCACTCAGTTTTGCACCTGGGGGGGACGATACGATGGCTGAAGGAACTTCCCATCTGCTAAAGCTCATCATGGAGATGGTGAGAGGAGTTGTCCAGTACGGCTGTGATTTTTGTCCCTCATCCTCCTCTCAGCCACCGTCTCCAAACTGTCCAAATTCCAGGCCAACAACAGAGCGGGCCTTCCTCACCAGCTTGTTGAGCCTGCTGACTTCACCAGCAAAGAAGAGTGCGCTGGCCACCACAGACTGGTAGAAGGTCTTCAGGAGTCTTTTGCAGACACTGAATGATCCACTGTCATATCAAATGTACACATGAAGTAAACACATGATGGAAAGTGCTATGGGATAAAGTAGGGATACAGAAGATAATGTCAAAAGACTCCAACATGACAAGATGGAGAAACTCCATCAGGTGCTGCTCTGATTCATGTGATTGGTTCACCTTGTCTCCCTTCACCATTAGTGGAAATGTTCATTTTAATTTGACCAATGAGAGTTAGTTTTGAGTTAACTGTTGCTATGGACGCAGCTCTAACTGTAGATGCCGTGGATTATTTGTATAGCGGAAGACAGAAGGCATTTTCAAATCAATAAATGTTGTGTTTGAAATGATTGATTTCCTGTGTAATAATAAGCATGTAATAATGACATGTAATAAGCAGAATAATGTATAGTGAGTGGGTTGTTATCACGGAGGAACACCTTCAGGATGAGACGAGAGACCTCAGCTTGTCGAGGTCGATGAGGATGTACTGAAAGGTGTTGGGACTGGGATCCTGTCCCGCTCACCCTGTCAAGATTCCTCTCTGACATAAAAACCTGCTCACCATGCATTATCCCCATCATATCTTATTTGATCCAGATTTTGTCTTTATTTTATTCACTGCAGCAAAAGTCGATAAGCAAGCATCATCAACTTTTAGTAATTTCACTTCCTAAAGTCCTATACATGTGTTCTACTTTGTAATTCTACTGTTTCTTCTACTTGCAGGTAAGGCTCTCACCTTCCTGCTGCTGCAGCCCCCCAGCCCCAAGCTGCCCTCCCACAGCACCATCCGCCGCACCGCCATCGATCTGATTGGCCGAGGCTTCACCGTCTGGGAGCCGTATATGGACGTATCAGCTGTGCTCATGGGACTGCTGGAGCTCTGCGCTGACGCCGAGAAGCAACTGGCCAAGTGAGTCCACCAGGCACTCACATTTAAATGTTGCTGTCAATGACAATTATAATGTCGTTCATATTCTTCATTTTAGTGGGACTTCTTTAAAAAACAAAACACTTGGTATTTTCTCTGATGACTTGGTTCATGATGTGGACTCCTTTATAAAGCTGAAAGACTTAAAGTTGACCTCTTCTTCTGATCCTCATGTAAAAACGTACCTATAGTGTTACAATGCTGGATGTCCATAAAGTTTCAGATCATGATGTAAAGGTAAATTTGAGTAAACCAGGATACGTTTGCAGAGTAGGTTAAAAAGTTTGTCCTGAGAATCACATGATAGTTCCCCCATAGAGAGAGACTGAGACAGAAAATCCTGAATACACACTGAACACAAACAGCAGAGGTGTTTATTCATTTTTTTTTGTTTGTTGGTTTAACTGATAATCTTTCCTCTCAGATTCCAGAGACCGGACAACCTCCTGTTTTAATACAGTACAAATGTATGCGCATACAAACACACACGCTAAGACAAACAGAGAAACACTCAGGCATCATAAAGCTGACACACTGAGCTATGGAAGCTGGGTTGTAATCTCATTGCAGGACATTATGATGATGTAACGATGTCTGCGTTGCTCTGACATGAGAGTCGTCTCTGCGTGTATGTGTGTTTGTGTTCAAATGTCCACTCAGAAAACTATTGGCCAATTCCCCGTTTGAGGGATCAACCTTTTGATTTGAATGACTATAATGCACAATAAGCAGCTGTCTTTTTCGGTGTAATTGTCATGCATCTTCATCTTCATAGTTTCCGTTTTTCATTTTTAATGCCCTAAGTGCTTGGCACATTTTTTGTATCTGGACACAAAATCCAAGGAAACAATTGTGCCAGCAGAAGCCCTCTTGTAGGCAAGCCATGTATCAACAAGGCCTCCCATCTGTTTTCTGCGAAAAAAAGATACCTGAAATTAAAGTTCTTTGAACAACTTTTACTCCTCAGGTTGTCTAATTTTGGTTAAAAAAAATGAGGCCTGACGAGTTAAAGTTGGCACGAAAGTATTTTTACAGAAAACTGCAAAAATGTGTGGCAGAAAAAAATAGAATATTTTTCTCATGGCATCTCTTCAAATCTTCTGATGAGTTTCTTGAAACAACCTTTTTGTACGACTGCAAACCTAAACTGATTAATATTTGTCACTGTGATCGTTTAAGAATCTGAGATTACCCAGTGAGAAGGTAATGCTTTCTGCACTTTGAACATGTAAACCTGCAGAGACGAGCTCAGAGGTTTTGTTTGCCTTCACAAAGACACACTGAGGTTGTGATTCAGTTGAGTAAGTGGAGGTCAGAGGTCAAAGGGAGGAGGTGATTCAGTGGCATCTTTTCCTCTCTGATACAAAGGGCTGAGCGTGTGCGACTCTTCCTCCCTGCTGAATTCTAACTGGCCAATATGAGCTGATCCTATTAAGGCTGAAACTGGAGCCGGGTTAGTCTGGTTAAATGAGTATAGATATGTCTGCTGTCACTGTGTGTGTGTGTGTGTGTGTGTGCGCGTGCGTGCGTGCGTGCGTGTGTGTGTGTGTACGACAGACGGACTCAAAATCATGCAATTTAGTCAAATACATTTTAAGTGGAACAAAAGTGAAAACAACTTGAATAGAATAAAGAATACCTTTATATAATTTCTAGTTACCTACACTCAAACACACATACACATATAAAAAAAAGAAACTGTTGAGTCTTAGTTTTAAATCCTTCCTCACAAGTACACACACACACATTGAAAGAGGTTATGAATATGAATAATTAACCATGCAAGTTCTGCCGCTGTATTTTGTTGCCTCCTGGTGTTGTTGAAGTAAACAGCACAAGGGCGGATCAATGAGACACAGTGATCAGATCAGTTCTTAACAATGCAGAGGACGAGAAAATACATAACTCTCTCTATCGCTCTCTCTCTCTCTCTCACACACACACACACACACACACACACACACACACACACACACACACACACACACACACACACACACACACACACACACACACACACACACACACAGAGTAATCAGTGTTTCTCTATGATCAGTGAGGCTCTTTGTCACTGATCTACACAAACGGTCATCAATACACTCCTTGCAGGGAGAGCATCCGATAATCCTTTTTCAATAGCCTCGGATTCAAGAAGCTCTTTGTTTTTTACAGTGTCACATTATATGTTTTTATGTTTTACCTACTGTCCATCATTTTCAGTCATCACTGTTTGTTATATCCACTTAAATCAGCCCTGATGTGCATCATTCAGAAGGGATGTGTGAGCTTTGTTTCAGACCTGTTGTTGGGCTAAAATGTTGCAGATCAGCTGTTCCTGGTTGAGACTGTTAACAGACTTCAAATGTGTCTGTTGGTCTCTGTGACATTCTTAACACAGGATGCCATCCATGCCATCGCATGGATTACAGCACCAAAAATGAACATGCACAGAGGAAGCTAACAAGTTTCCTTTTACCTTCTTAAGAACATTACAAATACATTGATAAGGAAACCATTGTTTCTAATGCAAAAAGAAAAGCTTTAAAATCTCAGATTCTTCCTTTTGCAAATCAACGACTTCGATCAAACATGTAGATTTAGACATATAAGGTCTCACTTTAGAACTGAAGTTGTTGAAAAAAGGCATCTGAAACTTTCCAACAATATAAACCGTGTTCAAGTGTAACCTTATCAAATGCCCTGCTGTGGACCGGAATATAAAGACCTCTTGCTGACCTGTCAATGTTTCCCTCTCTGCTTCTCTCGTCCAGTCAGAGGGCGGTGTGTTTGCCGTCCCCACTGCAGAGATAAATGCATGTTTTATTTTGTGTGTGATAGATAGAGAATTACGTATAATTCTGACATGCAGGGATAACTACATCTCTTTGTCCTGTGATTATTGTCTATTTGTGTTTTTGAAGAATTGCATTTATCATGCAGAGGTAGATCAATGTTTGTGTAATGTGTTTGTGTGTGTCGTGCCGAGATAAGTGCCTGTTGTTGTTGTCATGGGCACAACAGGAAGTTTATACACAGATAAACATGATCAGAAAACTACAGGTCACTTTTCAGGAAAAAGGTAGATTTCATTCAGGCGTGTGCTTTTGAATCTTGATTGCATTCACACCGGATTTAAAGTGAACGTCATGGTGTTTATACTGTGACCAGTTTGATTTCATAATTACAGGGAAAAACGATAATGCACAATAATATAATAATGATAAAAACATCACTCAGTATCAAGATTATGAAGGTTGTCTGTAAGTTCTGAATCTGCTCTGTTATCAGTCAGTGAACCTTTTTTATTACTAAGATAACTAGCTGGTGTTTCCTGGTGTTTTCCTACTTCTTCCTGAAATTTTCAGGGTTAGCTGCATGTGTGAATGCAAACTCGGTTCACACTAAAATATCAAACAGTACCCACATCCAAAGAGTTGAGTACTGGGTGCTGGACCAAAAATATATCCAAAGACAGAGAAAGCCTAAAGCTATCAAAGGTCAAAGGTATCTTTATTGTCCCCACAGGGAATTTTTATTGCAGCTGGAGACATACAAATACATAAACAACACTAATAAATAATCCAAACATCAAGTATAAGTACATAAAAGATGAAACATATGTTCCTTGCTTTGTATCACATGACCTGTCAGGTGACCTCAGGGGTCGTATATATATATATGTATATGTGGAGTTATGTTTACTCACTTCATGTCTGATGAAGGACGAGGGCCCTTGTTAAATGGAGCAGCTTTGTGTTGTGCGGCCTTTGAATGCAAACAGACACATATTTGTACTGGCAGACCCTTAGTCAATTTTTCATATGAGATTATGTGAGAACGGAGCAGAAAAGTTCACCTCAAGCGAGCAGGAGGAGGAGACATTAATATCCCGCGGTTGGCATAGAAACGGATTCATTATGCTTTCTGTTTGCCAGCATGTTCTTTTCTGTTCTTTTGTTGATATTGTGAATGTGTCGAGCTACACGTAGCATAAATATAAAGGCTAAATTCCCATTATTCTGTTGCTCCTTCCACCATTTCCAAGTTGTCCATTTACATCATTTGTTGACTCCTGAGATCCCAAACTCCAACAGGGACAGTCTCCTGCTGTGAGGTGCATGTGTGAACAAGCAACTTAGTAGGAACTCAGGGGGCTGCCTGCCTGAAACTTTCTATAAATGTGTAATAATAACCGCTGTAGGGAATTACTGAGAAGACCAGAGTCAGTGACTAAATTGTTTCCTGAAGCTGTTTTTTTTTTAAATCAGCACAGTCCACCCCTGAAATCTTCCTGAGTTGCTTTCAACAATTTTCCTCGTAAGTGGGATCGGTCTCAGAGGGCAAGACATTATGTAAAACAGACGCTGCGGAAATCCAAACTGGCTGACTAAGCGCCTTTATGAATGCTTTGTGTTATCGGACGTAATTACATTATCAACGAACAAGTGAAGAAGAACGTAGTGACCAGCAGAAACGAGTATTAAGCTGCTTCTTTAAGTGCATGAAGATTGCAATGGCTGAGAGATACGGACATAATCACCCCCCCCCACCTCCCCCCACCCCCCCGCTCGCTACTGTAGCTTGCTGGCGGTGAGTTTTCCTAATTGTTTTCTGCCGTGCTCATACATTGGCTCACATCGGGTAATGTCTGGATGAAGAATTTTGCCTCTTCTGTTCCCTCATGCAGCTCATTTTTAAAATTTAGGGAAGTTTTCCAGGAGTTTTGTGCATGTGTGATAACATCCTCTAGTCACCCAGAAAAAAAACAGTCAGTCAGTGAGTGAAGACGTAACTGTCAGTTAGACATTTCTAAAAATAGTCGGTAACCTGATCTGTCTTTGAACTGGTCTGCAGGCCTGTTGTCGAGGAAACCATCCAGTTACTGGTCGCTCTGATACAAACAGTTTTGGTTTCTTGCAGCAGTGACTCTCATCATGAGACTCTAGTTATTCACTCCTCCCTCACCACAAAAAAAATCAATAGTCCAATCCTCACTGTGTGTGTGTGTGACTCAGTATTGACTGGATAATGTCAGCGGGATACTGGCAGTGAATACTGTCATGTTGCCACGTTCACACACACACACACACACACACGCACACGCACTGAACCCTTTGTTGAGTGTGTGTGTTTGTGCATCTGAGTTGAAATATATTTAGTCCAAACTCATAATCAGAGTGACTTTATGTAGATCACTTATTGGCAGAGGTGTAGAAAATCCATTTCTTTAGATGCTGTTATAGAGGACTTAATTTGAGGTCTTAACACGGAGGTCATAGTATGCTGTGGTGTTATGGACCGCATTATATTCAGAGTTGTTTCTCCAATTCAGCGTAATGTAGTTGAGTACAATATCCCCTCTTTGGCATTTTGTATTGTATTGAAAGGGATTGCCCAGGTTAATCTAAAGGTTGCTTCAGCCCTATTTTCTTTCTTTTTAACACGTGTTGTGAAAGTTAAGGGACAAAAAAGTTTTGAAATTGCTCAAATTTAGCCTTCAGTCTTGAAACAGGCTGCAATGGTCACAAAGTAACCACTTAGGGAAAATGCACACATGCATGCAGGTCTTTTGAGATGTTGTTTAGAAACAGGAAACAGACGTCATGTTGCTCTCTTCAAAGCCTGCCACTGCCTCAATTAATAAGACTCTTAAGTGCTCCACAAATATTATTTAAGAACTTTACCATTTCAATCAATCAAGTCACACACAGCACAAAAAAAGTCATCATATATAAGCAACTGTAGACCAGCAACTCTCATTTTCTTAGAGGTAAAATTCCAGTTTTTGTCTGGTGCCTTTGAAGAGAGCGATGTGACAGTTATTTCTGGCTCCAATAAAGACAAATCTCTTTCTCTCCTTAGATATAATAATAGCTAATAGCTCTTATTCTATTTTTAGTCCTGATGATGAAACTCTGTGTGTGTGTGTCTTTGGGTTTTCCCCCTTTAACAGCAATAATAATCCAGATTATTTCATTACACGTTCTAAACGTTAGCTATTAACCTCGCTGGTTCTCTGTACAATTAGCTCTGTGCTCTCTTGCCGCCTTATATCAACACCGTGACTGTTTCCAATTATAGCCAGCCCTCTAAATGAAATTAAACATTTCAATATTGCTGATATATTGCCGATACATTACCAATATTAATTACAGGTACTGAGGATGTGATCTGTAATCAGAGGAGATGAATCGTGCAGCTCGGCCGTTCATCCACCCATCACTCCCCTCTCTCTCTCTCTCTCTCTCTCTCTCTCTCCCCAGAGTCATTTTCTTAACAAGGTGGCCTCTCTCGCCCCCTCTTTTCCTCTCTCTCTACGCACACACACACTCAGAGGGGTGTGTGGCCAGCTGTTAGGGTGTGTGTGTCTAATTCCTGTTGCATTGTGGGAGTCCATTATGCCGTCGTCTGGTGAATGGCTCCCATTGACTCGGCCTTGACATTATAAGCTGCCCGCTAATCTCTTCACTCCATATATTAGTGAGGCTCCATCCCTCTACTTCACTCAGTTTTATCTCCTTTCCTTGCTCTCTATAAATGTGTGCACTTTAATGCCTCTTTCTCTTTTTTAGATCACCAGTAAATCTATTCTTTGAAAAACAAGGCTGTATACGTTTTACCTCCGGTAAACAAATCCCTTCATCCCTGAGTCAATGTATCCCCCTAAGCCTGATAGTTCTTCTTCCATAGAGCTCCATTGTTGTCCCAAAACTGTTAAATTCACATTAATGAGCCACACCAGCATTGTGTGTTCATTACCATAAACACTCTTACTATAAAACCTAATCCCAGACAACTATCCCGTCGGTCGACTTACCTTCCTGAGCACCAAATGTGGAATTACCCTCCGCTGACAATAGTCCTTACCACCGCAATGTTTAGCAGAGATTTACATTTTTTTAACAAGGCCAATTCATGAGTTCACCGTGACATGCTTTGGTTAGGGTTAGACTGATTTAATCAAGTCGTAAGTGGAAAAGTGACTTGTGTACTTAATAATGTACAAACAGTAAAATAATGGGAAATTTGAAGTCAGAAAAGCAGTTTTAAGATTTAAAGACTCTTTAAAGATAGAGTCGGAAATCAGGGAGAGAGAGAGAGGGGAATTACATGCGGGAAGGGAGCCACAGGTCAGATCGGAACCTGGGCTGCCCGCTTGGAGGGCTACAGCCATCATGCATGAGCCAGCAGCGCACCAGAAAAGCAGTTTTAGTTAGCAATGACAAAAGCAGGTTAAATGACTGTGTTCATCCTTTGCTTCTTGTCTTACAAAAACATGACACTATTCCTAAGTTTTCCATATCAGTAAAATGTTTAAAATAGAAAATGTATGTTTGGGAGAGGTTCTTAAATATTTGTTTTCTTTGAATGAGTGGGACTGAAGGATTCAGTCATTGTGTGTTTTCTGAAGTGGACCTAAGTAAAGTGAACTTTGAGTGAACTTAAAGTGTCGTAAAGGGCATTTGCATGTAAATGGCTGTGTGTTCATTTGGTTTTATTCACCTGTCACTCTCTTTTGTTCCTTAACTCCTTACTTAATCCTTGCTTTCTATTTCCATTTGTATCAAACGCTTGTTTGTTTTTCGGAGGGAAGAATATATTTTTGACCTTGAATGAACCCTCTACTCCTCTCTCTCTGTCTCCACAGTATTACAATGGGTTTGCCCCTAAACCCCCCTGCGGATTCGGCCCGCTCAGCTCGTCACGCCCTCTCTCTTATTGCTACTGCCCGTCCTCCGGCCTTCATCACCACCATAGCAAGAGAGGTGAGACTGAGCTGTTAAAACCTTTATCACAAACAGTTTCAAAAAGCCGATTTCTACAAGTCTCTGTTCATAAATGTCCTCCACTACTAACAGAGAGTTTTAAAGAGTTCAAGTTAAAATACATTGTAGTGGAGGGTTGTCTGTTGGCTCTCCATGCTGTGGTACAGCAGAGGGATAATGATTAAACCTGTTATTTGGGCCCTGGTGGCTCACCCAGTGCATCAAATACCCTGTGTCATGCTCTCTTTTTGTCATATCTTTAATGTTCTGTACAGGTTCACAGGTACAACGCAGCACAGGCAAACTCTCAGTCGCAGCAGAACGTTCACACCACCACTCTGGCCAGAGCAAAGACTGAGATCCTGCGAGTGATTGACATCCTGATCGAGAAGATGCCCGGAGACGTCGTGGATCTGCTGGTCGAGGTTAATGTTAAATTACATAGCAGAGAAAACTCTTTTATATTTGGATTTTTTTCAAATGGTTGCATACAATTCTGAATAAGGTCAGAATCTCATCCTATCCCTTCTCACCCTCCTCCTCTTTCTCAGGTCATGGATATCATCATGTACTGTATCGAAGGTTCTCTGGTGAAGAAGAAAGGACTGCAGGAGTGTTTCCCTGCTATTTGCAAGTAAGTGGTTGTACGTCCTTGTGTCGAGAGGACTGGTTTGTTCATTTCAATCCAGCTTGGAGAATAAATTGGTGGGTGCCATGAGAAGTTCTGCAACAACATTAAAAGAGTTTTGCAAAAGTGTGTTTCCCTTTAAGAAAAAGGTTTTGTAAGTGAATGTGTTGTTGGTTTATCTTCATGCGATCAAAATGTCTTGCTTCCTGTGGATGATTTAATGACAATCAATGGTATGATTTTTCTTTCCCCTGTAAATCATTGTATGTATTGTCCTCTTGTTCAGGTTCTACATGGTTGGTTATTGTGACCGCAGTCATCGCATAGCTGTTGGAGCTCGCCAGGGTTCAGTGGCTCTCTACGATGTTCGTACTGGAAAGTGTCAGGTACGTTAAAGGACTCATCTTTTGTATATCTGATGTTTGATCTTAACAGAGACGTAAACCTGAAAGAGGTCATCAGGTTGTGATTTACATCAAAGTCAAGCTTTCACATCCATCGTTTGATATGGTGTGTCTATCTGTCATACTCCACCTGTCCATACTTGTTCTCAATCATTTCTATCCATCCTTCTGTCTAAACGTCTATGCATGTTAGTCTTTCTATCCATTGATCCATCTTCAATCCAATTATTTCCTTCATTTCTTTCACCTATTTGTCCATCAATTCATCCACCTGCCCACCAATCAAACCCATCCACCTGTCCATGATCCATCTACCATCATCAATTAATCTCTCACTCTTTCAAACTTTCTTGGACCCATGCGTACATTCCTTTACTCTTTACTCTTTCCTTACATCCCCTCCATCCAACCATTTGTTCATCCAAGCATTTAAACATCCATTCAATTATTCCTTTACACTGTCCGGATTTTTATTTTAGCTGAAAATGTTCCGCCATCAATTTGTCCCTCCATCCATCCATTCATCATCCATCCATCCTATCAATCACTGAACTAACAACATACTAAAGTGGTTCTCAAACTTTTTTTCAACACCTTTGATATACGTATTTTCTTCATCCAAGTACCTCGTTATCATTGCATTTTGGAGAAAAATAATCATCAAAGCAGCATCATCTTTTTTATCAAAAAAGGTACAAAGGTAAAAGAACAACATCAAGACTAGCTGAGTGGTTATTTAGCACGCCCTAAGTATGGAGTCCAGGCGGGCGGCCCAGGTTATCCACTGTCCTATTTTTGAATAAAGGCATAAAAAGCCCCAAAATAAACCTTATATATACTTAAAGTAAGAATGCTGCACAAGAAACTCAGTTTAGCAAACTAAGAGTGACATTTTTATTTAACCTACAGTATATATAAACATTACTATTGGAAAGGTGCAGCTCTGATATCATACTTACATATAAAAGTTAGAAGAAGACAATTCCCTGTAGTTTTTAAAACAAAGCTTTGAGATATCAGAACTCCAATGAGAAACTACTTAAGAACAGGGTTTCCCTTATTACCCAAACTTCCATCATTTGATTTCTGTTCCTTCATGAAGAGTAAGTGTGACGTCCAATGACAGGACAGTAGAGAGAGAGACGAGGAAGCGAGCGGTACCATGAGGTGTAAATAATAGGGGAGGAGATAAGAACAAGGAGAAGAGGAGTTGTTTTTTTCTCAGTAATTGATTAATGATGAAGCGATGACTTTGTTAATCACCTTTTTGTCTTTGCACCCATTTATATTTGACTGTGTGTGATGTTGTGTGTTTGTGTGTGCTCTCCTTGCCTTCATGTTTGTGTGCAGTTGAGTATGTGTGAGTGTGTGTGTTGGTAATTTGCTACGTATTGATTTGCAGTAACCTGAGCAGTCTAGTCGGGTGGAGGGGGTCATTTATATCTGATAACAGTGCTGGCCCCTGTTCACCCGACATTTAGTTGGGCTGCTTAGGTGTGTGTGTGTAGGTGTGTGTGTGCGCATGTTGTAAGTACAAGAGATGCGTTTCCTTTGTGTGTTATTTGCAGTAATTAACATTTAATAGATTTGCAGGAACCTGTGTGCGTGTGTGCGTGTGTGCGTGCGTGCGTGCGTGCGTGCGTGCGTGCGTGTGTGTGTGTGTGTGCTGGAAGGTTTGAAATTGAAATGCATACCAGGACTATTCTCTTCATTAATGGAGCTGTGTGTCTTTTAGTGTTTAATCACTTCTGATTTGTATTGATTCTGGTTCTTACTGTTACTTGATGAATCAAGTTTCAAAGTCTTGGTGAGATACAGAGGCGGAGAAAGAAACCAAAATGTGTTTGATGCAGCAACCAACAGATTTTACAGCCATGAAATGTTGTTATAAGGGACGAGAACAGACAACCTCATAGGCTGGCTATTAAGCAAATGAAGTCCACTATTCTTCAGAGTTTAATGACCACATGTAAGAAAATAATTATAATACACCTTATTACGTTATTTCAACAAACTTTAAGGCCCTGAGTGTTTTTGTTTTGTTTTTTCGGGCAGAATAAGAGTTGGCCGTGCACCGTGGAGCGCCTGAATGAAGACACTAAATTGTCCAATGAAACACTTTAATTTGGACGTAATTGATGAAAAGATGGGTGCAACCTTTTCCGATATTTAAGATGACATATATTACTGATGTGTAAAGGTAGTCCATTTGAAATAATGCGCTTTTTGATCTGCTATAAATGAAAGGAAATGGTTTGATTTGTTCAGATGAGACAGGAGGAGGAGAGAGGCCAATGGAAGTAAAAATTATAAAAAAAAAGTATCTGAGCATGAGGAGGAGAGGGACATGAAGATGATGGAGGAAGTTTTTGTTCCAAATGTGTGTAAGTGTGTGTGTGTGTGTGTGTGTGTGTGTGTGTCCAACCGTAACTAGCTTGTCCCTGCATGACCATCTGCCACGGCTTTGATCAGCCTCCGTGAACACTCCTTTGTCAGCTGCGTGTGTGTGTGTGTGTGTGTGTGTGTGTGTGTGTGTGTGTGTGTGTGTGTGTGTGTGTGTGTGTGTGTGTGTGTGTGTGTGTGTGTGTGTGTGTGTGTGTGTGTGTGTGTGTGTGTGTGTGTGTGTGTGTGTGTGTGTGTGTGTGTGTGTGTGTGTGTGTGTGTGTACGCGCCCAGCTGCTAGCTCTGCTTCTTTAACAGACTCTGCTGAGTCTACTAATTGAACACAAAGAAACAACCTGACTGATCTCTCTCTCTCTCTCTCTCTCTCTCTCTCTCTCTCTCTCTCTCTGTCTGTCGGCATCTGTTTCTTTCTTTAATCACTCTGTAACTGAAGGTGTAGCTCGGCCTCTGAGTGAGCACCTCCCACTCACCATCCCGTCAGAAGCCTGACGCATGGGATTAATTGAGGTCCAACCGGAAACTTTAGGGATTAAGTTTAGTTAAACTGTGACGAGTCTTTGGCTCGGGACATACTGCAGCTCTTCTACCCTCCTCTTTAAAATGTCCTAACATTTAACCCAGACCCTGAGGGGTGTATTTCAGGATAACAAGTTCGCAACACTCCTTATTCCTAAGTAGAGGCAGGACACACGGAGAGAGACGGACATATGGTGCTTTCACACAAAACTCCTGACACCTAGTAAATTATCTATGTGGCGTCAGGGTGAGCTGAATGCAGCAGGAAATATTCTGATAATACACTGTGAGATGGGGGGGGGCGGGGTTATGTTGAAATCCTGCACCCCTAGACTGTATTCACACAACCTGTGCAATCACTGTGCACGTAATGAAACTGCTGCATTATGATTTCTGTTTGCCAGTATGTTGTTCTTTACTTTATTATTGATTGATTGTGAATGTGTCAAACTACACATAAAATTCATACAAAGGCAAAAAAAATCACCATCTGGTTTAAAATACAACTACTGGGTCTTAAATAGTATCTAAACAGATGGTTTAATATGCTGCTGGGACATTTGTTTGCTTTTTAAAAAAATATATTGTCCCTCTTGACGGATTTAAAAAAAAACATAATAAAAATTGTAAAACACAGCTTGAGAATGATGAAACCTTGTGTGATTAAAAAAAACACAAATTGTTAAGATGATTTGAATTAAAAAATAATCAGTGTTTGTAAACGGTTAGACTCTTCATGAAGGTTGAAAAACAGTATGATATGATGGTGTGAGCCTTTTGTATGACACACAAACACAAACACAAACACACACACACACACACACCGAACACACACACACACACACACACACACACACACACACACACACACACACACACACACACAGTCATATCCCCAGGTGTCAGGTGTATTGAAGTACAGAGTGCTGTAAATGGTTTCAGTGTGCTTCACTGCTCTCTGATAGGCTGATTGATTTGGTAGGCAGTCCACCATGACACACTCACCTACAAACGCGCGCACGCGCACACACACACACACACACACACACACACACACACACACACACACACACACACACACACACACACACACACGAACACACAAACTGATCATACTACATGTAAAAGCATCAATATTTGAAGCACATTTAAATCTGCACATCTGTATCTTTGCTTTCCTCATTCATTCACAAATGATTTTAGTTTCTTCCCTTTTTTTTTACCCCTTTGTCTTTAACCAGCTGTCATCATGTTCGCAGCATGACTTACAATTTATAAGTGACTTCATCTGAGAAGACTAATAGAACCACTGCAGCAATTACAAGTCAAATGCAATCACAGATTTATTATGGTAATCTGGGCATGCTTTTCTTGCAGCCCTGCGCTGTGATTGAACCATTTTTGTAAATTGTTGAAGATGGAGGCTTTCTATGGAGCGTGCACATTTTTTATATCATCCCAGAGTGAAAGTGAGCAACAGGAGCTTTAATTTGCCAGATTAAATGATGAAGTGATCTTACTATATGATCAGACATTAAGGAAACATGCTATGTTGAAGTGCTGACTTCTCTGACAACAATACAGCAGCCAGTATGTCCTCCTTCTAACTTTAGATTCTGGTCCTGAATGATCTGGATTTGTTTGGACCAGAGAAGGTAGGCGGTTTTAAGGCACCCCCACACGGCCGTTTTGGACGCCCCTCGGTTTGCAGGTCAAACCAACAGGTGTTGCAGCGATGGAAGCAGCAAGAGAAGTGGTTCAGATAGAAGTGATTGTACCCGACCTAAAAAGCCTCTGCATGTTTCTAATAAGCTCCACGAGCAGAAACGTGCTCAAAGTAGGATCAATATTGGAGATGCTTTTGAAAAATGGAGAGAGGTTAGAACACAGAAAGGTTTACAGACCCATGCTGAGCTGGATAAACACTGAAGCTTCAGGGTCCACCACATGGTGACCTGTGTGAGCATCGACTCTAGAGAGGAGGGGGCGGGGGGAGACAGCTCTTTCCAATGTTTTGAATTTAGACTGCAGTACCTATTTTAAACACTAGGTGGCAGAGTTACATATTGCTCCTTAAAAGGCAATTGAGCATGCATTTAAAATAAATCGTGATTTGACTTCAGAAGGGGTTAACAAAAATGAATCCATGTTGACTTATGAAAAAGCTTAGACTGTTAGTAATCACTCTGTCGTCTTCTGATCATTTTGCCTTTAACAAAATATGATCGGAAATGCTATGTGGGATCACGCCAAAGAGAAAATAAATGAGGAGAGAGAGACTGGCAGAGGTGAACACTGTGAAGGGAGTTTAGAATTAATCATGAAAAGGGTAGAAAGGGGGAATAAGGAGAGAGAGGCTCACAGGGATGAAGGCTGGAAAGAAATCAAAATAATTCAGCTATTTTCTTTCCACCAACACTGCTGGAATCTAATAGGATTTCTCCTAAAAGAAGGAGGGAGTGAACGAATTAGAGCGATGAGATTTTCATTTCATTGGGTTATTATTTTTTTCTGCTTTAATCGCCACAGACGGGTTATTATTTCATGGTCTGGGAGCCCGAGGCGTCACGTCTTAATCTCATCTGGAGGTGAGAGTTTGTAATCCCAGTCGCGGGCAGAGGCGGGGCGGAGATTTCTGGAAGGCCGTTTATTGCGTTACACACCCTGCATCTGGTGGGACAGTTTATTGCGTTACACACGGCGTGGCGTCGCTTTATTTTGTCCCCTGAGTTCTGCAGGCGAATGACAGCATCTGTTGGAGCAGAAGCTGCCCCTCATCTGATGGAATTATCTCCCTCAAACCAAACACTTACTGTCAGGGAGAATCTGGGCGGCAGGGCCGGTTTTTATGAGACGACTCAATGAAATTTCAACAAGGACCAAAATTTGTTCTTCATCTCGTCTTTATCACGAAAGAGAATTTATTGAAGTCTGGGTTTCTACCTCGAGCTGCTGCTGCTGCTGCTGCTGCAGTTTAGCCCCATCAACAGGAGGAGTCTTAAGGAAAAGTCAAGTTTTTCTGTCATTTTAGTTTCAATGGGTGATGAGAAACGATGTGAAGGCGTTTGAGATACGATTCTTTGTCTTTTGATAAAAACGCTCTATTCTGTGAAGTGTTCCAGTCTGAGTTTTAGCACTGAAAATATTCTATAAACCTCAATAACACTTCTTTTCAAGCTGGAAAATTTCGGACAAGATTGTGCCATATAGAACAATTCAGTGCTTGTCACTAACATACCGAAAAACACTGAAGCATTGAAACATTTAGGGACACAATGAAGACGATATGAGAGTTCACGCTGCTTGGAGTGAGTGATGGAGAAGACACAGGAGTGGTTTGGAGATTTTAGCAGCAGCAGTGTGTGCAAAGGTAGCAGAAACAAGACTGAATCTGTGAAGTTCCAGGGCAGCACTGCAGCTGTGGCTAAGTTGGTACAGTTGGTTGTCTCTCATCTATAAGGTCAGGGGTTCGATCACACTAAAGCAGAGCACTAGTCCCAGACTTGTATTACATTATATTCTTACACTACTGTATACTTTTTATTTTTAATTATTAACTGTGTAGAAAATAGTTTAGAGCTTCCGCAGATTGTTTTTATGAAGTTATGGTAAAAGTTTAATTTTTTTAATTAAGTCTGTTAAACCTTTGTGTCTCCTCAGAACATCCACGGTCATAAGGGTCCCATCACAGCCGTGTCGTTCGCTCCTGATGGACGTTACCTGGCCACATACTCCAACCTTGACAGCCACATCTCCTTCTGGCAGGTGAGCGATGTGTATAAACACCACCATCATTAGGTTGTGTTTTTTTTTCTCCACACGTATTTGTAATCTTAGAGGACCTTTAGGGCTACCTAAAGAGATTTACTTTTCAGCTCCTCAGAGGTTTTAAAATCCAGCCATCGTACTAGCACTAGGCAATCCATACTGTGCCAAAGCATGTTTGATCCCCAAAGTCTATTTAGTTTGACTAGTGTAAGTGCTCCATTCACACTTCCTTGGCCCTGGCATGGATGGAAGAGGTGTGCTTAGCCTAGTGGTCAGTGCAGGTGTCCCATGTACGGAGGCTATAGTCCTCATAACGGGCAGCCAAGGTTCAAATCTGACCAGAGGCTCCTTTCCTGCACGTCATTCCCCACTCTGTCTTTCTCCCTGATTTTCGACTCTAAAAAAAGGTTAATTTCAAAGGTTGAATGAATAATCTCCAGAAACATGTCAGACTATCAAACCATATTTCTGTGGATTATAAAATCATTTTGAAACAAATGTTTATAATGGTTTAGACTTGGACTACTTGAAAGAAATAACCTCCTTTCAAATGTGAAATATTTTTGTATTTTTGTAACCCTTTTCTCCCATTATTCTTGTACCATACAAACAAAAACATCTAAATGAACAATAATCATTACTCAGGTGAGCAATCACACACGTTTGATAAACACACACCGACACACACACACACACACACACACACACACACACACACACACACACACACACACACACACACACACACACACACACACACACACACACACACACACACACACACACACACACACACACACACACGCACTCCTGATCCACTTCCCAGAACTGTTATTTTGAATGAAAGGTCTTTACGACCCCTGACACGACTGTCTGCATAGACACACACGTACACACACACACACACACACACACACACACACACACACACACTCACACACACACACATTCTAATGGCATTACTGTAAGCATAAACCGCTGCTACGCGCCGACAAGACGGCTGCTGTGGTAATGAGCTGGCAGACGCTCTGTCGGTGTGTGTGTGTGTGTGTGTGTGTGTCTGAGGGAGGGGCAGTGTCGTCTCAGGAAACGATTGAGTTTCTACTCACTGTTTTTCCTACACTCTCTCTGTCTCTCTGTCTTTCTCTCTCTCTCTCTCTCTCTCTCTCTTTCGAAACATGCACTTTCAGTCTCGCCTTTTTTCATGGGGTTACCCTCTGTGTTTCCTCAGCAGCACAGTTCCTTTAAAGAGATGGTGATGATGGTCATAAACAAAACTTCAGGAACTCAAAGACAGTTAGCTTACCCTTTACCAGCTTTAAGCTGAAATGATTAACCAGAGTAATGAGGGTTGATTGATGGATTATGTATTTAAGAGTAATCCCCGCTTCATGTGCTTCTGGTGGTCCTCAGATGAACACCAGTCTGCTTGGCAGCATCGGGATGTTGAACTCGGCTCCTCAGCTCCGCTGCATTAAGACCTACCAGGTTCCTCCGGTTCAGCCCGCCTCCCCAGGCTCACAGAACCACCTGAAGCTCGCCCGCCTCATCTGGACCTCCAACCGCAACGTCATCCTGATGGCCCACGACGGCAAGGAGCACCGCTTCATGGTCTGAAGCAGATCTGTATCTCCAGCTGAGTCCAGACCTGGACCAGTGTCAGAGGTTTTTACTCCAAAGTTTGTCTCATTCTAGAAATGTAACTTGAGAAATCTGAAGGTATCTACCTAAAGTTTGGCAAGAAACCCCAGTCCAGGTCCAGGTTTGTACTGGATGAATTTGTTTTATCATTCCTAGTTACCGTTGTAAGGAAACTCATTGTGTGATATACTCAAAGCCGTGATAGAAGGCTCGTTTACATTGTGGTATAAATGTATGTATTTTTAGTTGTTATCACCTTCTCCTCATTCCTATTTATTTGCTTCGTGTAGCAGACTTCCTTTGCCGCCATCTTGAAGCAGCCATCTTGAGTCATGGTGTTGAAAATCCCATTGAGTTTTTAATTTATTTCAGCATCTTATCATGAAACACTTTTAACTTATTAAAGGTTTTTATGAATGATCTTTGCAGAAAAATATATATGATGACAGCACTTCAAAGTTTATGAACATGTTTGGTTTTTATTTTCTGCTCTTTGTTTCACATCGTGTTGGAGTCCAAGAGTAAAAGAACTTAAAGATCAGTTTCCCATCCTGTTTGTGGAAGCAGGTGGAAGTGTAAAGACCCATACTGAACCTTTGTTGGAGCACACATTTTTTTTCACATTTCATTGCTCATTCTCATGTGACTGCCTTCCTCTAAGGGTCTCTGCTTTTATTTTTCTGACACCTTGAGAGCTCTCTCCATCCTCAGTGAGCCTCACACAGGAACCTGAGCATCATGTGTTTACACCCCAGTGTATTTGCACAAACACACATTCTCACTTCATCCTAAAAGCATGGCCAGTCGGCCCTTACACACTGGAGATGCAGCATCACTCATTTAGGGTATTTCCACAATAACATGAACTAGACCACTAGCCTAATGGGCTGCTGCTCCTAACACAGTTAAGTGTTCCTTTAGTTCCTATGACGTGGTTACTGTTTGGTGTAAAAAAAAAAAAGATGTTTCCAAGTTGGGAAGTATTTTTAAAATGTCCTCTTTTTCACCTTACTGCATGCTACTTTAACAAAACATCAACCATTTCCTTCGAGTTGCCATGGAGACCCACTTTCAATAAGAAACTTTACGGACTAAATCACTTTCCAATGTCACTCCACGACTCTTAACTCAAACTTGTCTCAAACTTGAACTAACATTTGGTCAACATCTTCGGGGGCAAAACGTGTCATGTCACTCTCTTGCCTCCAGATTTCCTTGAGTTCTGGTCCCTTTGAGTCTGTTGAAACTAATCTGGATGTTCATGTGTTTAATAGTTGGGGTAGTCTTCCTCCTTGGTTGTTCTGGTTTGATTGTTTGCAGATGATAAAGCGTTATATATCACTAATAGATGTGAAGGTTTTTGCTTTGACTTGAGGCATTTCTCTTTCCGCAGTCTGCATCGTTCTGACTTTCAGGAGGATAGCTCTACATATAAATGTGAACATACTCAGTAAATATATCATCAGAGCTGCTTCTTGATGTGGTCTGTTAATCGTTAACAGTGGGCGCTGATCTCTGGTGTGTTTGTTGTGGCTAACGTGAGTGCCTGCCTTGCAATGACTAGTTCTTTACAATAGAGGGTCTCCTCTCTTAGTGGATTAAAAACTTTATATTTTCATTTAAATGTCAGAATCAACCGTTTGGAGAAATTAGAAGTGACGTTTTGCATCTTCCTCCTTTTTTGCGTTTTAGCACAATGCTATACTGACCCAAGTTTTCATAAACATAAGCTCACAAATCCGCACACATAAAAGGTCTTTTGATAAACGCCTAAAGTAGCTGAAGAAATAGAAAAGCAGGAGAAATATATGAACTTTGACCTCTCAGTGTTGTGTCTGTAGATCTTTGTTTGATGAATCGAGATATTGACTGTCCTTTCATTGTGAGCAACAAAAAGCTAATCATGATCATTTATAGTTCTATATTGGGTATTTTTCCGTTCTTGCAACATAAAGAAACTGGCCATAGTCCTCATAATCAGTGCTAACTATACTTATTGATAACTGTGGATTTAAACAAGGTATGTAGCTTGTTAGCTTGTGGAACTAAACACACCTCAAGCCGCCTCCTAAATGACTGTGATGTGATTAAGTGTCAACAAAATAGTAGTATAGTAGAAATTAATGAGCCCCCTTTAGCCCCCTAAGATATTTAGTGAAATGAATGTCTGTTAAGTTACCATAGCAACTGGGATTTTAAAGATATCTCCTTTTACTACAAAAACATAATGAAAGAGGTGGAAGTTACTGGAGGGTGTGTTTTCTGTCAGCATGCTAACCCACTACTTGCTCTTTACTATCATCTGTCATTTCCTGAAAGGAAACATTGAAAAGTCCAAATATAAAATCTGATTTTCCATTGTAAAGGACAAAAGCAAACTTAATCATCATTTTCTGAAGTGTTTGCATCTTCACTTTGATTTTTGGAGCACAGTATCGACACACAGCGTGTCTTGAAGTACGACTTGGCATCTCACCTGTATCAGCATTATCTTTTTATAGCGACCCTTCAACCATTGTAGGTTAGTAGAAACAACATTTTATCTGCTTTTACTTCCTCAACTTGTTTCAAAGTCTGAATAAAAAGGTGTATTGTGTGTCGGTACACTATGACATCATACAACCAATTCACCTTTCAGGTCGCCCTGCATGACTTGGTGTGGTTGGCAGCACATTTTTGCACATTTCTCTGTTAGTGTGGAGCTTCTAGTTTGGAAAAGCTGCCTCTGTTTTAGTGCTGAGAGTTTTATTTAGAGAGAAAGATATATACAGATATAAATATATACACAGATATGATATTTATAGAGATATTTTTCTCTGAGCTTCAATGTTTTTACTTTCATTTTTGTGTACTCAAAGTGTGGGATATGTTGGAAGGATAGCTTTAATTCAGTATTTTTCACTCGTCCTCTTCCTCTCCTGTCCGTTTCATTAGTGCTGTCAGAAAGCTTCTAACACTGTTACACACCTGTAAACCCGAGCGTGTCAAAGCTTTTCACAAGTTCTTCTTCTCTTTAAAAAAAAAAATATCCTGCAGACCATCAGACGACGACACACACACACACATACACACACACACACACACACACACACACACACACACACACACACACACACACACACACACACACACACACACACACACACACACGCACACGTGTCGAGTCCAGCGGGTCCAGGCGGCTCTGAGATCTTAATCTTCGGTTTTCTCCGCCGCTCTTTACAGTTTGAGAAAATCTGTTTTTGGCAGCCTCATGGGGGAGGAAAGGTGAGAAAAAATAACGCAGGCCGAGAGGAAGAGCTGAGGAGTAAGTAACAAGTGAGGAAGATCAGGTCATCCAGCCAGAAAAAAAATGAAGCTTCTGTGGTGGTGAAGGTAGTGAACCGAAATGTCCCAAAGAAGCTTCTGCAGAGTTTCCTTCAAATGCATCAACATGGGGGGAGATAAGCAGAGCAAGGAGGGAAGGTTCCTTTAAAACCTGCAGATGTTTAACTTTAGAGCACTGCAAAGTGAATGTT